AAAGCAAAGAAAGTTGCGCTTTTACCTCCTACCCAGGTAGCCTAATAGCCTTGAGGCTTAGAGATGTTCTCCTGGCTGAGTTCTTGTTATTGTTGTCAACTGACTAGCACTTCTGGGGGGGGTGCTAGGGTGGAACCTACAACTTCAGTGCTCAGAGCTGAGTTGCAACCTAGACCTGTAATGCCTCTTATGCCACAGAGGCGGTGCTGTCATTATCCAGTCTGTCTCCAGATTTGCCTATGTCCCTCTTGCTGTCTGCGGGTTCATGCATCTCAGACTTTCAGAGTAGAATGCTTTTAGAATTGGCTCAAACAGCGCCCCTCAGTGAGATTCTGGTAAAAGCAGGTGACCGCATGGTCTCCAGCTGCGTTTCTCACTCCAGTGCCACACAGACAGGCAACCGCCATCTGCTCTCAGCATACCCTCAGCACACTGTACCCGCAGAGCTCTGCCTGCTTCTAGACAACCGACATTTGCAGGGTGGGCAGGATGGTTCAGTGAGTAAAGGTGCCTGCCATCAGTCATGATGGCAAGAGTTCAATCCCTGTGACCCACACAGTAGGTGGAGAAAGCTGGCACCTTCGGTTGTCCTCTGACATCCTCAAGTGTGTCATGGCACTTGTGCCCACATGTGTGCACACCAAATACAAGTAAAAGTGTTAAAGAGGAAACCAACAATACTGTCATCATCCCTTCCTACAGAAAGCAGTCTGCCAGCCTTCTACTTATCCATTCATCTAGGGAGATTGTCTGTAAGCTGAGCCAGGTTGTGGTGGCACACGCCTTAATCCCAGCACTCAGAGACAGGGGCCGATGGAGCTCTGTGAGTTCAAGACCAGCCTGGTCTACATAGTGAGTTCCAGGCCAACCAGAGCTACAAAGTGAGACCCTATTTCAAAACAACAACAAACAATATTGCCCTGTCACCCCTGGGCAATTATAAATCTTTTTAAATCTTGCCTTCAACCCTGCTGTCTCTCCTTTACTTCAGCCTCAGGCTAGCGTTTTCCAACCCTTCCCAGTGGCTGTACACAGTCCTGGTCTCTATTGTTGAGCTGCCTGGTCTCTGTGTTGCCTTTAGAATGGTTCCTGACTTCACTTCTGCTCATGCCAGGCCCATCAATGCCATGAATCCACAGATGTTAATTTCTACTATTCTAATACCCGCTTGTTAGAAGTTCTGCCCTTGGGGCTGAGGATGTCACTTAGTTGAGTCCTTACCTAGCATGCATGCAGTGCACAGAAACTTAAACTCCAGGAGATTGAGGCAGGAGGATTAGAAGTTCACAGTCACCTTCAGCTTTGTAAACAGTTCAAGGACAGCCTACGACACAGGAAACCTTGTCTCAATAGAGTAGTGGTAAGACTTGTGTTTTAAGAACATTACTAGTCGCCGGGCGTTGGTGGCACACGCCTTTAATCCCAGCACTCGGGAGGCAGAGGCAGGCGGATCTCTGTGAGTTTGAGGCCAGCCTGGTCTACAGAGTGAGTTCCAGGACAGCCTCCAAAGCCACAGAGAAACCTTGTCCCAAAAAACCAAAAAAAAAAAAAAAAAAAAAAAAAAAAGAACATTACTAGTCTGGGTCATAGCTCAATGATAGAGGACTTGCCACAGGCATACATGAGGTCCTCAGTACTGTGTCTGACCACACACATATATGCCCACATATACACATTACACACACACACACACACACACACACACACACACACACACACGACTACCTTGTGATCCTCTTTTTCCCATTTTTATTTCATTTTCCATTCCAACCACAGTTCTCCCACACACCCCCTCACCTCCCCACTAGCCCATCCCCAGTCCACTCCTCCTCACACAGGTAAGAAGTCAACATAGTCTGGCACAATAGGAAGGGGCAGGGCTTGGTCCCTCTCCCATGCACTAAGACCAGGCATGGCACCCCACCATAGGGAATAGGCTCTAACAAGCTAGCTCATGTACTGGGATTATATTGTAGTCCTACAGCCACTGAGCATGGCATCTCACTCTAAGGAATGGGCTCCAACAAGCGAGCTCATGTACCAGGTTTGTATCTTGGTCCTGCTGCCAGGGACCCCTCTGATAGTCCAAGCTTCACAACTGTCTCCTACATATAGAGGGGGGCTAGTTTGGATCCCTGGAGTCTCCACAGTTACAGGTATAGAGTTCATGAGTTTCCACAAGCTTGGTTCAGCTGAATCTGTGGATTTCTTCATCATGATCTTGACCTCCGTTGCTCATATGTTCCCTCCTCCCTCTCTTCGCCTGGATTCCTGGAGTTCCACCTGGTGCTTGGTTGTGGATCTCTGAGTCTGGTTCCATCAATTACTGGATGAGGGTTCTATGATGGCAGTTGGGGTATTCACCTATCTGCTCACAGGGGTAGACCAGTTCAGACATTCTCTGTACTATTGCTAGGAGTCTTAGTTGGGGTCCTCCTTGTGGATTCTTGGGGGTTACCCTAGCACCAGGTTTCTCCATAAGCCTATTGTGGTTCTCTCTGCTAAATTATCTTTTTCATTGCCTTTCCATTGCATCTCTCTCGGCCTAGGCCATCTCATCCCCTCCTGTTCTCATGCCCCCTCCTCCCCCACAACACCCCCCCACCCCCAATTCCTTGTGGTCATCTGTATAGCTTATTTTTCTCTCTTACGCTTCCAACATCGCATTTGGAATTATGGGGCTTATGTTCCATGTCTTAATGTCCAGCGATTCTGATTGTTTTACCCTGCTTGTTCTTTCATCAGTGTCTACCCGAACTTGCTCGTATTTTACTGTGAACTCTTTTCTTTAACAAATTATTAGTAGAGGTCATTTGCATTCCTTCCTCAACGCGGGCTCACCCTTCACAGAACAGTCTGCTCCCCTTGTACCCCAGCCACCTCGGGCATCTCTCTACTTCTCCACCAGCCAGGTAAGACTTTGTCTTGCAAATCCACAGGCAGGCTGACTTGGCATTCCCTTTTCTTAAAGGATCTCAGTGTCAAGGGTCAGGGCAGGGCAGGGTGGAGGAGGTACAAATAACCTTTTGTGGTTCCTGCTTTCCTGGAGCAGGGATCTCTTTCCTCCAAGGGATGCCCTTCTGTCTCCCAGACCCCAGGAGGCCTTGCAGCTGGCCTCTGGCAAAACCTCAAAACAGGAACCTCAAGGTCCCTCTCCTCTTGCTCCTTTGGCCCTGCGTGACCTTCCTAGTTTTCTGTTCTGTTGTCTTTCCAGTAATGCTACTCCTACCTTCTGCCCAACATTTGTTTAATCTGGACTCTAGGGGACATTTACATGAATGCCTCCCCAAGTCCAGGGGTCTGCCTCCCCAAGTCCAGGGGTCTGCCTCCCCAAGTCCAGGGGTCTGCCTCCTTCAGTGTGTCTTCTCAGCCACTACTAGGGTCCTGTCTGGTGGTGTCCCCTTCCACATTCCCTCCCTCAGGAAGGCCCAGGCCCCTTGTTTTGCTCAAGCAAATTTGCTCTCCCATGGCTCCTTGGCTTGGATGTAGCCCACCTGTGTTTCCTGACATTCCCTGTCCAAGAAGACACATGCTTTACAAAGTACAAAGTCTCTGCCACTGAGCTTCCACCTTCTAGCCTGGCACCCTAAAGTCAGTGTATTGGGCCAGCACATGCGGCAGGGACTGTGCCCAAGATGACCCCAATTCCATGGGCTGGCTGGACAGCTACAGAATAAGGACTGTTGGTTACCCAGACCTTCATCGTCTCTCAGTTACCTGTGCCCACTCCCATCTTGATCAATGCCAGAGCTCAGCATTCAGGTCCACCCAGGGCATGAAGGTCTGGGGCTGTCTCTCCTGGTGACTAGGTCTCCCCCGGCACCACCTCCAGGAAGGCAGGGGATGGGCAAAGATGTAGGAGAAAAGCTAGAAGAAAAAGGCCAGTTTCAGAACCAGTTGGAACCTTCTGGAGGAAGGTAAACCTCTTGGAGGTAGGAGGATATAGCAGCCCTCTTGTGTCCTGCTGCCTTGGTCTCCCTGATAGGGCCCTGGTGGTGGCGTCCAGCTTCCTCCCCAAGACCAGCCCTGCTTCTGGCAGGAGCCCACCCACTCCTTCTGGCTGGGACTGTCCGTGCCCTAGCAGTGTCGAGGGGGTTGGCAGATAAAGAGGGACAAAGTGGAGTCATCCCCAGCCCCCCTATGGCCTTCACCCAAGACTTCACCCCCCACTCCTCGGCCCCGTTTGTATGTTGTGAAGTCTGGGTTTTCTCAAAGTAAAGGCAGCAGATAGCATCCATGAAACGAGAGTGGTTGGGAACGTGCTGGCACTCGGCTTTTTCATTCTGTGGGTAGAGATGGTGTGAGGTGGGCGTGCCTTATTACAGTTGGCCCCAGGAACTCAGCCACAAGACAAGGGAGTCTAGTGTCTTGGATGATGGGCGTGTTTTCATAGTATGGTGGGTGTGGCCTCCGGGTGCGGTGAGCATAGACAGTGAAATGGTGGTCCTCGAGTTCAGATTCACCGGGGCAGAAGTGACTGGTGCAGGAGATATAATTCCCCCACTGGCAGCACTGGTCAGAACTGGTGGCTGGGGTGGAAAGGTAGTGAAGGAACAATGGTACCTCAGGCAGCCGGAAGGAAGGTGGAGACAGTGAGTGGCTGTGGCAGTGGGTGTTGGGGCATTTGGGACGGGACAGTAGGAGGGGCTATAGGGCGGGACCGTAGAGTTGGGGTAGTGCAGGCCGCATTGAGTTGGGGGAGTGATGTCAGAGAGGTCCGGGGACAGTGGGATTATGGTGTGAGGGCGTGGCAGTGGGCGGAGCAATGTGTTGTAGGAGTAGGGATGAGGATGAGCAGTGGGGGGAGTGGGAGGGGCAGTGGAAGGAAGCCTTGGGATGCGGTAGTGGACACATCAGTGGGAGAGGGGAGTGGAATTGATGGGTCGGAGCAGTGGGATCGGATAGTGGAAGAGCGGCAGTAGCACCGCAGTGGGCAGGGCACTGAGGGGTTGCTCCCTATCGGGTCAGAGGGGCGGGTCTCAGCGCCCCTTTCCTCGCAGGGCTTCCGTGGGACCTCCAAGCGCCGTGCCTAGTTTGCTGTGGCTTCCGCCCGCCCCACCCCGCAAGCCTCTCTCTGCGCCTAGATACCAAAAGGCTCCTTCTGCTGCTCGGGCGGCGGGCGGCCAGGCAGCTGGCGGAGCCAAAAGACGAGGACCAGGATGAGGACCAGCACCGGATCGAGACGCCCCCAGATCGTGGCTCGTCTCTGCAGGAACCGACACATAGACGAGGGACCTTGTATACAGAGCTATTTTAGAGAAATTGCGGTTGCCACCATGGTATTTCTTGTGGAGCCCCGCCCTCTCCTGTGCCCGCACCCCAGTCCTCCTGCTCGGTCCCTGGGCAGACATACATACATAGTTAACTCCAATCTGGCCACGAAACAGATGAGGGACGGTCAGCCCTGGCACCATGACAACCTTTCCTCTCTGAGGGTTGTTTCTTTGCTGCGGGGTGTCTCCAAACGGGGAGGGTCCCTTGCAGGACACTCATTCATTTATTCAACGAGACTGGCTGTGCTTGTCCAATGCTCTGCACTCAAGCATGGGTGCTAGGCAAGGGTGCCCACCCTGGGGTAGGTCCTTCAGATTCTATCATAGTGCAGTTTTGGAACCCCCTGGTGTTAAAGGGACCAGACAATCTATGGACACCCCAAGCACAGGGAAAGGGTCCAAGTCCTCCCTGGACTAAGGCTGAGGGGTCCTGATACGGTGAACAGAGCCAGCTGTTGGTGACATTGGAGGTCTGCTATTGTATGAATATGTACCCCCAAAAGTCCATGTCCTGGGAACTTGGTCCCCAGGACAGTGGTATTGAGAGAGGAGACCTCTGCCAGGGCCCTTGTGAACTGATTAATCCTTTCATGGATTAATAGACTGTCTCGAATAAGGCTTTTGTTTTAAAGGCAAGTTCCCTCAGGTACACTTATTTGCACAGTCTGCATGTGACACCCTCCACATGTCATGACACAGCACCAAGCCATCAGACACACATCAACACCCAGCGTCACATGTGCTAGTTGAACTTCCTAACCTCCAGAACCATGAGCCAAATAAAACTCTGTTCTTTATAAATGTCCCAACGTGTGACTTTCAGTTTTGGCAACAAGAAATGAGCTGGGGGTGGCGGGAAGCATGTCCCCTTGGCTTCAGTCTGGACAGGGTGGCAAGGGGCAGAGGTGAAGGCTTCTTGTGGCTAACACTAGCCCTCCAACGCTCTCTCTCTCTCTCTCTCCCTCTCTCTCTCTCTCTCCCTCTCTCTCTCTCTCATCTCTGGCCTTTCCTTGTTTCAGGAGGTCCACTTAGGGGTCACTTGCAGTCCCTTCTTCATGGTATTTGGATGATACTCTCACAGTGGCATATGTGTCACCTAGCAAGCAGCCTTAGCTATAAAGGGCACAAGGATACAGCCCTGAAAAGAGCCAACCCGCAGGGGTCTCCACCCTTCTCTCTGCTCCAGTGGGGATGCCTATAAGATCACTAGAAGGCCTCCTGCCAAGGCACGGCAATTTCCACTGAAACCCCCAGATCACACTGCTGCAGCACAGGTTTAGCAGGGTCTTTCAGAGCTAGCCTTCCTGGTCCCCTCAGTCACACACACTGCTGACCACATTACCATATGAAGGCTACACTAGACTCTCCCCCCCAGGGACTGTGACCTCAGGCACACAAGGCTGTTCTCTCCCTGTCTCCTTGCCCCACTGGCAGTGTGGTTCCAGCAGTGACCACAGAAGTCCCCACCCACCAAGTTCTGGTCCAACCCACATGAGTTAGGGCTGGGCGGGCATAAGGATGGGGTCCCTAGACAACGGTGAGGTCAGATCCTAGCTATGGCCCCTACTCCTGTCCCTCAAGCCTGAGCCTTCCACTCAGCATGCTTCATTGGTTCCCTCCTGATACAGTCTAGGTTCTCCCCTGGGCTGTGGAGGAATGGTGCCTTCTACCCTTAGGATGTCTGTTGAACAGCCATGAAGTGTTAACGTGTCCAAGCCCAGCATCGTGGGATTCCCCAGGCACTCACCCCTCTCCGTGCCCCTTATGTCTCCCTCATATTGTACAGTGTCCTACCAAGGGTCCCTGTCCTGTCCAGCTTTTTCCTGGATTTGAGCTGAGAGGGCCTGCAGGGTGAGAGATATAACCAACCTAATACCTCCTACACAGATCCTAGGATGGAACAGGCCTGACTCTCTTTTCTTTCTTTTTATTTTATTTGAAACAGGGTTTCTCTGTATAGCCCTAGCTGTCCTGGAACTCACTCTGTAGACCACGCTGGCCTTGAAGCCAGAGATCCACCTACCTGTCTCCTGAATGCTGGGACTAAAGGTATGCAATGCCACTACACCCAGCTAGACCTGACTCTTGTTTGGCCATGTGACTTGGCAACTAGCAGAAACCCAGGGTCTTGATCTTCTAGGGAGAGATCATTTTAGACTAAGAATAGTCTGTCTTTGTGGGACAGTGTCCAGCACAAAGCCCTGCGCCCCCCTGGATGTCAGATCCATGTGTAGTACCCCACCCTCCAAGTGCTGCTTGTGACCTTAAGCTACAGCCCACTGCTAACACTTCTGTCCTTACCCCAGCGTGACCAGGGTCAGCCATGCCTGCAGGCACTCAGGGAGCATTGCCTCACCTCTGTGCGTGCTCCCCAGTCATGTAGGATTTGTTCCAGCTAAAAGGGAAGTCCATGCAGACTCACTTTGTTGCAAAGACTCTTTGGGCCATGCGGTGAATTTACAGCCTCATGCTTCCGACTCTAGTGTTGTTTCACTACATTCTTTTTTTTTTTTTTTTTTTTTTTTTTGGTTTTTCGAGACAGAGTTTCTCTGTATTGTTTTGGAGGCTATCAATCCAGCCCGGCCTTGAACTCACAGAGATCTGCCTGCCTCTGCCTCCCGAGTGCTGGGATTAAAGGCGTGTGCCACCAAAGCCCGGCGTTTCACTACATTCTCTTAGTTGTTTATTCATTTTACTTTTTAGAGGCAAGGTTTCTCTATGGTAGCTATGGTTATCCTGGAACTAACTCTGTAGACCAGGCTGGCCTGGAACTCATAGAGATTCAGCTGCCTCAGCCTCCCAAGTGCTGGGATTAAAGGTGTGTGCCACCACTGCCCGGTGTGTTTATATTTTCTTACATTATTTACTCACTACCAAATTGACTTTTAAATAAATGTTCAGGTAAACTAAAGTTGTTAAATTGGCCCAGCTCTTATAGCTCACAGTAAAACTAAAATTTTAGGGGAAACAAGCCCTAACTCCAATTATCCCCTAAGTTAGTTTAGCCGCACCGTATGTCTAGTATAGCAATTAAAGGGTTAAAATAAGTGACAAAGGGGGTGGTATGAAATCAGTATAACTACCTTGGGGAAACAAGCAGAAGTGGCTAGTGGCCATATTCTTTGGAGGAATTAGCATGAGTCTTTTAATTAAAAATGTTTTTTTAAAGATAAAATATACATAATTATACACTTCTTGTCAAAATGGTCTATTTGACCCTCTGTATTCTGATTCTGCAAGATGGTTCCTATTGCTTGAGGGAATAAATTAATTTTAAAAAATGACTACTCTGCCGGGTGTTGGTGGCGCACGCCTTTAATCCCAGCACTCGGAGGCAGAAGCAGGCAGATCTCTGTGAGTTCGAGGCCAGCCTGGTCTACAGAGTGAGTTCCAGGACAGCCTCCAAAACAATACAGAGAAACCCTGTCTCGAAAAACCAAAAAAAAAAAAAAAAAAAAAAGACATCTCGGAGTTACGGATAACCTCTTTTTTTTTTTCTTTAAGTGACATATAAACTTACAAGCAAAGCAATGGAAAATATCAGAATATACTGCAATACAGCAGTGGGCCACAAGAGGGAAATACTCAAGGGCCAGATTGTTCTGGGGGGGGTTTCCTTTTAAGGGAATGCCCATAAGAGAAGGAGAAGTTTGCTTTTAGGGGTGTAGTGAGAGTGAGTGGTTCTGTTTTCTTTCTTTTTTTTTTTAAAGGGAGGGGAAACTGCGGTTGGTATGTATTGTATGAGAGAAGAATGACTAAAAAGAAAAAAATCTTAATGTGTTACATTACACCATAATAGTGTGCTTAGGGCACTTATCTCTTTTTCGATTCGATAAAATATTTGTTAAGTGATTAACATTCTATGGAGATAAAAAGGACTATTAATATGTTCTACCTGTGTTATAACTGTTAGATATTTAAAATACCATTTATATGTTTTCTGTGTTTTAGTTACCTCCTCTTGGATTTTCATTGAAAATTCTCATTAAAACATTTTTGCTGGGTGGTGGTGGCGGCGGCGGCGGCGATGGCGCACACCTTTAATCCCAGCACTTGGGAGGCAGAGGCAGGCGGATCTCCAAGTTTGAAGTCAGCCTGGTCCACAGAGCTAGTTCTGGGACAGCCAGGGCTACTCTGGACAGAGAAACCCTGTCTCAAAAAACAGAAAAATCTATTTTTTTATAAAATAATAGTAATAATTATGAAACAAACTGTTATGTAAAGGAAAAGAAATATAAAAGCTACATATATACATTATATTTTTAGTAAAAAAAAAAGTTTAAAGGAAAAATGCTTTTGGATGAGAAAGAACTTTGTGTGGGTGGTGGTGGCATATGACTTTAATCCCACCACTTGGGAGGCAGAGGCAGGTAGAGCTCTGAGTTCCAGGCCAGCCTTGTCTATACAGAGTGAGTTCTGGGACAGCCAGGGCTACCCAGAGAAACTCTGTCTCAAAAAAAGAGAAAAAAAAAAAGATTATTCCAAAATAGAACCGAATGGGTAATATTAGAAGATAAAAGTTACCAATTCAGTTTAGTTTAGTTTTGTTTTGTTTTGTTTTTTGGAGACAAGGTTTCTCTGTATTGTTTAGGAGACTGTCCTGGAACTCGCTCTATAGACCAGGCTAGCCTTGAACTCACAGAGATCCACCTGCCTCTGTCTCCCGAGTGCTGGGATTAAAGGCATGCACCACCAACACTTGGCAAATTTTTTTTCACATTCCAATCCCAGTTCCTCCCTCCTCTCTTCCCACTCCCCTCACCGCCCCCCCATCTGCTCCACTGAGAGATTAAGACCTCCCCTTGGAAGTCTACTAAGTCGTCCCATCATCTAGTTGAGGCGGGGCCAAGGCACCTCTCCACCCCTACACTCCTGTGTCTAGGCTGGGCAAGGTATCTCTCCATATAAAATGTAGATTACCAATTCTTTAACATTTTATTTGAAAAATGTTATTATTTATGCATGTGTACATGTATATGTCTATGTATGAAGAGAGATCAGAGGGGCATATGAGCCCTGAAGTTGGAGTTATGGGCAGTTATGAGATGCTGGTATGGGTGCTGGAACTCGAACTCATGTCCTATGCAAGAACAGTATGTGCTCTTAACCACTGAGCCATCTCTCCAGCCCTAAATATTTTATTTTTAACTATGAGTATATGTAGTCTGTTAGTGGGTTTGTGCATATGAGTGGAGGGAGAGGAGGAAGCCCTGAGTGAGTGAAGTCTTGAGTGAATGTATATTTTTGACTTGGGCACAGTCGTAAGGACCAAGACCTCAGCCCATGGGGATTTGGCACAGCCATTCACCGTATGGGCAAGGATCAGAAAACAAACCTTCTTCCTCTGGTCTAAGTAGGAGTGTCATGGACTGTTGGTCAGCGCACACAGAAATGAGTAACTGCTGCGTTCTCCTCCTGGATGACTACAGCCAGAGAGTACCCACTGCAGACACCTCCTACTAGCTAGCTGGGGACTGTGCTATACAAAACAAACACACTGAGGTTCCAGTATAGGTGCTGCACCACCATGACCCCAGCTTTCCGGAACTTATTTGTCTCTTCTTCATTTCCTCCTGCTCCTAGTCAGGGTCCCAGGACCCAAGCTTGGCAAGTCAGAGGCCAGAGGTGTCAGATCTCCCTGCAGCTGGGAGTTACAGATGGTTATGAGATGCTCAATATGGATTCTGGAAGCCAAACTCGGGTCCTCTGCAAGAGTAGTTCATGCTCTTAACCTTTGAACAATTGCTTTTGCTCCAAGTTATAAAACTTTTTATGATCAAGTTCAGTAGCCATGAAATAAAATTA